AGGAGTGTTATAGTTGTGGCTTGGAAAGGTGGCAGTGAAGGAGTGTTGTGGAAAAGAGCATGTCATTTAGAATTTGTTTAGAGCTTGAATTTGAGTCTTGTGTTTTACAATTGTTCTTGGTTGTGCAATTGGTTTCTTCTGTTATATTTTGTTACATTGAAGAAGTACATTATTGTTGCTACTTGATTTTGTTAGAGCCAACTGCCAAGGCCCAAGGGTTCTTGTTATTTGGATTAATTACTGCTTGCTGCTACTTGATTTTGCTACATTGAAGTACATTACTCCTGCTATTTGATTTTGTTGTTGCTCAGTTATTAATTATTTATAGCAATTAATCAATAACCGAACAGAACCGACATTAAATTTTCGGTTAAAACTGAGCCGAACCATAACATTTTGGTTCGGTTTTTGGTTATGAAATAGATAAACCGAATTTTTAGATAGGTTTCGATTCGGTTTTAACCAAATGTGCACCCCTACTCTCTGCAAAGGTGATCACGCTTCTCCATATTCTGGCCCGAAAATGGCCTATCACTGCAAAGTTCTCCACATCTCTCAATGTTTTGTCCTAAAAATGAACACTCTCTACAAAGGTTATCACACTTGTCCATGTTCTGACCCGAAAATGATCTATCACTGCAAAGTTCCCCACCTCTCTCAATGCTTTGACCCGAAAACGAACATTTTCTACAAAGGTGATCACGCTTCTCCATGTTCTGACCCAAAAATGACCTATAAAGTTACCCACATCTCTCATTGATTTGACCCGGAAATAATCACTTTCTTCAAAGGTGATCATGCTTCTCCATGTTCTGACTCGAAAATGACCTATCACTGTAAAGTTCCCCAAATTCTCTCAATGCTTTGACTCAAAAATAATCACTCTCTATAAAGGTTATCAAACCTTTCAAATTTACTACTATAAGAACATAACATAAACTAAATCCTTCACACACTTGAATCTCTTCAAAAATCTTATCATATTTCTCTATCTCACATTTCTACAATGAATTTTGATTTTGGCAATTCGTCATCTTCTTCATCCAATTCTGATGATGATCATATGCTAATTATGACTCCTCTTCGTAAAAAATAAGCAGTGATAACTTGTGTTATCGTTAATAAAAACATCATCATTCAACATCTTCTCAATCAACAAAACAAAAAAGCCTTCCATGCAGGTTATGTTCCTGTGCATATTATTATCAATCGTGATGGAGAGGCTGTTGATCGTAGCCTATACAGTGATTATTTCTCAAAAAATCCATTGTATAATGAGACCATGTTTCGTAGAAGGTCCAGATGTCTCGCTTGTTGTTCCTTTGAATTGTCGATGCAGTCAAAGATCAAATGATCATTACTTTTAACAGAGAGTGGGTCGAGCTGGCAGACTTGGATTATCTCCAATACAAAAAATAACTCTTGTTTTTCGTATGTTGGCATACGGGGTTCCAGCAGATGCTACAGACGAGCATGTCAAATTTGGCGAGGCTACTGCAATTGAAGTTGTAGCATATTATGATCTATGGATGACATCCTTATTTTGGTTTGTTGGGCTCCAACAACGATATCAACGTTCTAGAATTATCTCATCCCTACGCCAAAAAAAGCTTCAGATAGCGCTTTTTTTTGCTACAGATAATGCTTTTAAGCGTTATCGGAATCAGTGTTATCTGAATACCGATTCTTCAGATAACGCTTTTTTATACTAAGTGTTATGTGAAGATATTTTCGCATAACACTCTTTTATGCTAAGTGTTATGTGAAGAGCCCTTCACATAACGCTTTTTATGCTAAGCGTTATGTGAAGAGCCCTACACATAACAATTTTTTAAACAAGTGTTATCTGTGTATATATATTTTTTAATATATATATATATATATTTATATTATATATATTTTGTGCTTGTATCCATTAACTACATATACCAATAAACAAGAACCAGATAACTTTATCATAACCCCATATGGTAAGAAACAAGAACCAACAAGAAAACAACACATAATGAATATAACAAAAACTTTACTAACACAATCAACCAAATTTAACATTGTGCTCGTGTATGTACAAGAGAATAAAGTAGCACAAAATCATAAAAGAATCTCCAATTCCAATAAATCAAGAAAAAAAAACTAATATTCCTAGTACGAAATTCGCCACCATTAGCGACCAAACAATTTTTTATTGCAACCTCCTGCATCGCAAAAATTACACATATATTGATATCAAATTTAAGTCATTCATCACATATTATAATCAAAATATAAAAGAAAATGTAATAGGAGTATAACAAAATACATGCCTGTTAAGTAGAAAAAGAATGCACATGTATCTGCCAGAATTACAAATTGAAACGAGCTAGCTCAGTCATTATCTATTAATTCTATTTCGTAATAGATTTGAACTTTAACACAACAATAGCAATAACAATAACAATAACAAACAAATCGATATTAGTAACGATAATCTTACACAACTCTTAACTCTGAAGAATGCATTGCGTCCATACTTCACAATCATCACAAGGCTGAGTAAAAATCCTGATTGGTGGCCTTTTCCAATTATCTACCCTCGAACATCGTTAAACAAATATATCTCTTTCAACAAATTTGAAGTACAAAATGAAGGAACGAAAAGATAATAGAACACTGTTTAGATCATTTCGGCACTAAATAAAAATAAATGAATAGGCAAAACTCATCTGTGGTACTCAAAGAGAGGGCGCAACATGTATTACCTTGGAAGTGAGTGGCAATTGTAATCCACTTATTTACGTATGTGTAGAAAATCTGTAATTACATTTTAAACCACTAGTTAAGGGTCCAATCACAATTGCGAATAGATTAAAGTATAGTTTAAAGCACTAAAAGGAATTTGGTAGGCCTAAATGTAAGTAATGAGTGATCATACATTGCCATGAAGAGATATGAAACACGACACCAGCGATTCACCCATCAGTTTCTCTTTAAGGCTATCCGTTAGCTGACCTATTTTGCAACACGTAAAGGAAACAACAAAATATTAGGAAAATAAAAGAAGCACCGACAACCAATAAAGAGGAATATATTATCATCACCATAACATACATATATAACAAACATAAAGATAAGGTATGATTCTTCAGTTTAATGAAGAAAACTGACTACCTATTGCTTTGTCGAACATCATAACCATAACCGAACAATGTTGTCCCTTTATTATACCCACATCCAACAAGCATTCCAATCATGTCGTGAAAATGGTACTGGTCGCACAAATGCCGAAGCTTTACAAACTGACATCATGGAAAATTAAAATCGACACTTTGATATGGATGAATCTAAGACCAGGCACAATCTTTTAAACTAAGCAAATATGCATTAAGCCATGAGAGAAGTCTCACATTCAGAAGATCAACTACACAATCTAACAATTTTCCATACAAAAAGATAACAGTGCCAGCGATTTATAGCCTTTTTTTAAAGCAAAAAATGAAATATATCCATCTTTTTAAGAAAGATAAAATCTAGCCATTTTGGTAGGCAAAAGTACTATTGTACCCTTATTAATGTTTTACCTACCAAACATATTAAAAAAAAGAAAAAAGAGTCCATCTGTGCACGCTGACACATTAATCTCTTTCTCTCCTCCATTGTTCTTTGTTTTGTGCGATTCGCTTCTGTAAAAAAATCAAAAAAAAAAAAATTATCATCTTCCCAAAATTTACTCAAAAGTGATCTCTTTTCAAATATCATCTCCAACATCACCAAGGGAATCCCCTTTTTGAGAAGAAAAAAGGTATATTAACATAAACTGAATTTTGTTTTTTTTTTTAATTATGTTAAATAATTTTTTTTAACGCATTTATTATTTTTGTTCCCAAAATGATTGATTTGCCTTGTAACATTTTATTTTGTTGAACTCATATTTTTTTGGAGTTAAAAAATTATAATTTTTGTGCTTAAAAAAAATGGTTGTGTTTTGGAGTTCATGACTTTTGTTGTATTATTACTAGAGCCCTTTCTTTTAGAGTTTAGGAGATGAATTAATGGTTTGTTGAAAAATAAACAACAATTTGTTGAACAAAAAATTTTTTTGAACAAAACCACAGTTTGTTGTTCAAGAAACAAGTTTGTTGAGCAAAAAACGAGTTTCTTGTTCAAGAAACCAGTTTTTGTTCAAGAAACCCGTTTCTTGCTCAAGAAACCTGTTTCTTGACTAAAAAATTGTGGGTTTGTTCAAGAAACTGTTTCTTGGTCAAGAAACCCGTATGTTTCTTGCCAAGAAATCAGTTTCTTGTGCGAAAAAATTGTTTCTTGAACAAGAAAATGGGTCGGCGATGAGCAAAAAACGGGTTTCTTGTTCAAGAAACCAGTTTCTTGCTCAAGAAACCAATTTCGAGCGGCCGTGTGAAGAGAAGTTTGTTCGCCGCTGACAGATGCAGGCGAGGAGAACATGGCCCACGTGGTGGTGAAGTCGAGCGTGATAGTCGATAAATTGGATTATTTTTTGAAGGAGTTGATTGAGGGGCGTTCGGGTTGGTATAAGGATGGAAATTTTGATCCGCCATGCATGGCGACAGATATCAGGAGTGAGAACTATTATTGTGCTGTTCATAAGTGATGCGTCTTTTTTTTGTAACGATATTTTGTTCGCCATGCGTGTATTTTTTTCTCTATTTAATAGTAGTAGTTGTTGGTAAGTTAGCTATTTTATGTGGATGGTGATCATAGCAGGTTATTAGACTTTGTGTTGTGCAATGTATAGATTTGAATGGTTTCTGCTGGCAATTTATGTGCTTAAATTACAGGTAAGTGGTTTAAAAACGATGCATATTAGAATGTCATGAAAATTTTCTTTAGCATATGTTAGCTGTGCAATAATTTAAAGTGGCATTTGTTAGATTGTGCAATGAAAACTCTTTCCGTATGTACAATATGTCTATACATATTTTTTTCCCTATATACGACAACATACTGGGGTATAACTTGTTTCTACAAAGATGGTCACATAAATTATGTTAAGACCTCCGATTAAAATCCTGAAAACTAATTCGAGCCTGCCCACCAGGCCTAGGGTTATTCGGCCTGGAAGTTGGCATTTGAAACTGATGTTGTTGATGTTGGTTCGAAAAGAAATTAGCTGATGGAGAGAATTGAGAAGTTGAGCCCAAGTTTCCATTAGGACCACTGGGAGCTTGGCCAGCCGCAAGCCACTGTACTTCGTTCTTCAATGCCTCGTTTAGGGCTAGAAAAAAAACATTCATATTGATTATTGTATTATGAATCGTTTTAAGATTATTTGTCGACCATTAAGTTTTTGAAAACCAAAACACACTGTTAAGGTTTTTATTTCTTTCATAACCGTGTCCCTTCTCATATTGGTTGCAGTTTGTAGGAATAAAAACATATAAGGATGAGGTACTTGTAGTTTTGGAATATGATTGGGACTTTTTTTTTTTTTTTTGTAATTAGTTAAACTTCATGGGTAATACCAAAATCAACTCAAAAAAGAATTGAGAGAATCACGCACCATCTTTAAGGTGTGCTTGCTGCTCCATAGCCTGTAACTTGAGCTTAAGTTCCTTGTTCTCGGATGTCAAGCCATTAGTATTCCTCTGAAAAAGTATGACATGTTACAAATTCTGTAGCGATCACTTTTTTTGAAATAGTAATTTGCAATTTGTACAACGGTACAAAGAAAAACAGGTTTCTTGAGCAAACGGTACAATGAAAACGCGTATCTTGAAAAAGAAATGGGTTTCTTGAACAAGAAACAAGTTTCTTGAAAAAGAATTTAGGGTTTAGGGTTTCATGAAAAGAGACGGGTTTCTTGAACAAGAAACTTGTTTCTTGCAGGTTTCTTGAACATTTTTTCCTTACATTCCCATAAATCGTTTCTTTAGCTCAAGAAATCGCCTCTTGACAACAAGAAATCGTTTCTTGTGCTCAAAAAATCATTTCTTGGGCGCAAGGAGTTGTTTCTTGAGCTCCGATAAACCGCTAGACATAAACTCATGAGCTACGTACATAGAAATTCCATACGAATAAGGATAAGTTAAGAAATCTAGAACTAAAACATTTCATTAAAATTGAAATACTTTTGTATTTTTCTAATTTTGTCTTCAGAGTGTGCCAATAATGTTGAAAACATTTGTAATATCTTCAAATTACGTATGTCAATGATAAGCAACAAACAAAATTAGCAAATATCAAATTCCCTTTCTAGAAGCTTAAAAAATATCATCACAAATTGAGTTGGGTCAGCAACTAGTATGAATAGTATGGATGATTTTGTGGAAATTAAAGAAAGTGGGTATTAGAATGCACCTGAAGTTGACTCAAAAAACTCTTCCAAATTTTTGCCTTGTTCTGCATTTAAGATAATGTATCAGTTTTCGAGTAACCAAAACGTTTAGGCCAGACAGATACCAACAAAATTAGGTGAAACATTAGGCTCATAAATTTTATCACTTACCCTGGTAAAACTTCCAGCTTATCAGTTGGCATGTCATTTACCATTTACCAAGACAGTTCATAAAATATTATCAAATAATCATGGAGATTAAATATTCTTACACCTCAGGATTCAAGAAATCAAAGTATTTAATTGTACTAAAAACAAAAACAGAGGGGGCAATGCTTATTTACCATTTTCGGCTTGAAGTATCATCTCCATCTGTATAAAGAAACAATTAAAATGATTTGAGAAAACGTGAAAATTAGTAGATAATCGAAGCACTTGTCAAATAAGAAAATGTAAAGTTAATAGCTTCAATATATAAAAAAACTCAAAATGTAAATAATATATACAATGACTACCAAATGGAAGGTTCAGCTTCTAACCCTGGTATATTACTAAGCCTAATAACTAGCTCCAGCTACCAAATACCAACAGATGATTGGTAAAAGTAATCCATAGTGCTTCACCTCTATGTAAACAGCATATGTAGAAGTTGAATGGGGGTTTGTGCTTCATTTTATTCATAATTCCCGATCTCTCTCTCTCTCTCTCTCTCTCTCTCTCTCTCTCTCTCTCTCTCTCTCTCTCTCTCTCTCTCTCTGAACACATTCCAGATTAGTTCCGTGTTGTTAGCTTCATAGATTTTAGCTTTGATTCACACTTCAATTTGCTAGATTTGAAACTATAGTCACCAATAAGAAAGTGGCAATAGTGATATCCTTTAAATTCTAAATTTTGATACCACTATAAGAGTTACCTTCCAGTTTCAAGTAATTCTATATGTATATTCATAATACATTACCTTGTCGAAGTCTTCTACAAGCTTAGCTTCCAATGAAGAATTCTTTTCATACTCCATCCAAAAATCATTGATCTTCTTGGCTACACGAAATATACACTATCAGCAGGCAAACAGGTACATGATAAACCACAATGTAGAGTTCAACATGAACGTATGTACTAGACTCTAAACCGGAGACTTTAACTCAAGTTCCTTCAGTTTTGTTGTTACCTCTGAGCATTGTTTCTCAGTTTCTGCAATTGTTGCTTCAAGTTTTTCGTATTTCTTCTATCTTTCGTTATAGAAGTTTTCATCCCGACTTCATCAGCTCCAGGTTCACATTTATACACTGAAGCAGCCGGTGGAGGTAACACAACAAACGACTCGTCTATTGCTTTCCCAGACTGGCTACTCTCAGGGCGACACTCTTTGGAATTAAGGCGCAGCCCGGCAGAGCCCGAGCTGACCCTGATCAGTACTGGGCTGACCCCGCTCAGTCCCAAGAAGCACCCTAGCAAGGCCCGAACAGCAACAACAACGCCCGAAAGCAGTCGCTTCAGGCCCGGACAAAAAAACAGCTACAAGAGCAATTTTTCAGCAATTAAATAACACTAACCACACTTAAAGTGTGAAAAAACATAAACCAGAAAACGAAAATGAACAATGCATATCAAACTAAAACCAGAAAAAAAATAAAAGGAAATCGAGAAACAAAATCGGTCACACACCTTTCACACCACAATGTCGCACGAGCAAGCTCAACCAAACCCTTGGAATTGACATCCGGCTGAGTCGATTCGCACTGCTCCAACACCAATAACCCTCGTGCATACGATTCCGCTGCAAAATTTCACATTTTTAAGCCAAACCCTACAAAACTACCTTCAGGGTCGATTCGGTAGTGCCGACAGCAGAGGTCGATTCGCCGAAGGAGAATAGCAGTCGACTTGCCGGAGGATGTCAATTTCGATAGAAACGGGTCATTTTTTTGGAGAAGTGCCGGTGGAGGTCGATTCGTCGGGTCTATTATTGGAGCGAGAAAGCCTCTGAAAATTTAGAGAAGGAAGAAAGCCAGAAAAAATTGGGAGAGAAAAGAAGAAAGTGAGAAGAAAATTGGAGAGAGAAGAAGAAAGCTTGTTCAGTGAGATGAAAATGAAAATGGGAGAACGAAGAAAAAAGTTTGTAATGAAATTTTGAGAATTTTTTACGAAAAAAAAGAAAGTTAAGTGGTGGACAAAAAGAGAAAAAGGAAAAAAAGGGGTGGAATGAAATGAAAAGGCCGTATTTTGTGAATACGGTTTTTCAAAAATTTATTTGGAAGACGTATTCACGGAATACGTTTTCTTTTGTAAAAAAAATGTGAAAAACGTATTTAGTGAATACGTTTTTTTTAATATATTATAAAGAAAACGTATTTCATAAATACGTGCTTTTTATGTTGATCCACTCACTCTTTTTTCTTTTGTTTTTTGTCCACTTATTATTTTTTTAATAATAAATATATAAATTCCCCGAAATTTTGATATTAATGGGGAGAGGAGCTGGCAGATTGTTTGTTATTTGGAGAAAGGAAAACTTGAGATTGAGGGTACAAATGTATTTTCACAAGCAAGAATGGCTAGATTTCTTTTTTTTTTTTTCAAAAACATGGTTATATTTCATGTTTTCTTTTGGTTAAGTGCTATAAAGCACCATTACCACAAAAGATAATATCCAATCAGAAAAATAGGGAAAAAAACAAAAGAGGTCAGACGAAGCAAACAATTGATAACAATATAGAAGCCAAGTTCGAAATAGAAAAACTGAACAAATTTAAGTACATGCACTAGCACATTATAAATAAAAAACAACTTAATAAAGAATGGTCCAGAATGTCAATGGCCTAAAGCCCATAATCATCTTGAGGCATTATTATCTCAATAGTATCATCCAGTGACTCTGTATACCCTGCCAAAGGGAAGGAAAAAACAAAAATAAAATGAATATCACCATGAACACAACAACCAATTATGGAGTAAGTGGGAAATTAACACAAATCAAATGCACGAAGAAGAAAAAACTATAGTTCCTACAGATGATAACCTCATAAGTCTATGTTTCCATATATACTTGAAAAAATAAATATACATCCACTTATATTTATTGATTTAAAATGAAAAGATAAAAATGAATTACCTTTTCTATCTCATATCAGATGAAATCTGTTTTGAGCAGTTCATATGACCAAGGTCAACTTTTATGATAAGGCTACCAGAAAACCAAGTTCAAAGGATGCATGGACTTAGCACGTTAGCTTATTTACTTTACTGTGTCCTTGTGGTTGTACTAACACCAAATTCTCCAAGAGAAGTCTGATAATCACGATAGTGAATAGAAAATCACAATTGAAAACAAATTGCATATTTTACCCAAAAATATCAAGGTACTACAAAAATCGCAGGTTTACCCCTTTAGTTGTATCCTATGCTGACTAATGCTTCAGTCAACAGAATCTTCCATGTGAACAAATAAAGCAAAGAAAGAAAAGAAGGTCAGTAACTTGAATTTCAATTTTCAAATTGATCGACCATAGTGGATTCCTCGATCACTTCAAAGGGATAAATTTATCCCAAGAATGACAGTAAAAATCCTTACTTAAATTACACAAGGTCATTTCATCAAACACAAAGAAGACATACAATACATCATATTCATGAAACACCAAAACCTCAGAAGTTTTAAACATTACAAAAAATTTTATCCCAAGAATGAGCATTATCTATCTTCAATGTCATGGCATGAAAATCAAATTAAAAACAGTAAAATCCTTACCTAAACTACAAAAGGTCATTTCATCAATCACAAAAATGACATCCATGCCATTCACGGAACACCAAATTAATGTAAAAAGTTTTTGAACATTAACAGAAAAGAGAAAAACTCACGCAAAGGGAGATGGCGCAACAAAGAGAGTTATACGCTTGGGCCCTGAGTTCTCGTTATGACGATAAAATACTACTCATCGTTCTCGTTGCCCTTGATCTCATTCTTCTGCTCAATTGAAGATAAAATTCTCCTTGCAGCAGGACATTGAGAAGTAGAGTTCTTCGAATTCTGCTCGACAGAAGATAAAATTATCCTTACAAATTCTACTTGCAGTGGCACGCCGAGAAGAAGGGTTCTTCGCGTCTATTTTTCTTTATCTCAGTAAAAGAGGGGTGGGATTTTATATAATTCTGATTTATTTATTATATTAAAGTAGGGTTGTTAAAGGATGAAGTATTATGAAACACTATTAATTGTTATAACTTACATAACACTTTTTAAAACAAGTGTTATAATATAAATAAGTGGTATAACTTACATAACACTTTTAAAGGGAGTGTTATGTATTATTATTCTTCTTATAGCGCTTCTTAAGTTAAGTGTTATCTAAGAATTGTGTGTTTTTTTACATAACACTTGTTTAAAAAAGCGTTATCTAAAAAGTGTTATCTGAATATTTTTTGGCGTAGTGCATCTTTTTCTAAGATTAATCGAAGCTATTGCTCCTTTCAGCTCATTATATAATTCAAGGAAAAGAATACAACGTGAGTTATTATTTAACTGATAGAATATATCCAAAATGGTCTACCAATGTGTAAACAATTCATGAGCCACGTGGCCTGAAGAAAAGATATTTTGCCATGAGACAAAAGGCATGCAGAAAAGACGTTGAACGTGCATTTGGAGTTCTTCAATCACGTTTTGACATTATTAGCAAAAAAAAGTGCTACATAATATCATAACCACATGTATAATTTTACATAACATGATTGTTGAGGATGAACGTGAACTAAGTGCACTAATCGAAACTGAGATGGAAACGCCGCCACCGAAGGTTGAAATGGCAGTAGATGAAAGTACTCGATTTCAAAAAGTTCATATCTCTATACAAAAAAATTAGAAATAAAGATGACCACACTGCACTCAGAATGCACTAATGGATCATCTGTGAGAGGAGTTCACCAATTTAGAGACTTGAAAGTCTGTCTATTTTTACTTGATTGTTGTAATTTTTAATTTCTCATATTGGGCGTTGTAATTTTTAATTTCATGTTGTGTGTTGTAATTTTTAATTTCTCATCTTGTGCATTGTAATTTTTGATTTTATCTTGTATGTTGTAATTTCTAGTTTTATCTTGTGTGTTGTAATTTTCAAATTTTAATTATTAATGAATATTTATTTCTCCGAGTTTGTTTTGTATATGATTTTAATTTTATAAAGTCCAAATTAAATTTAGAATAATAGTGTGGTTTAATTTGTAAAGTTGTAAAATATGTGGGTAGTATTGAAAAGTTGATGTAAAAGAGAATATGTCGAGAATGTTCTTTTGGGATTAGAATGAGTTTTCCAGTTAGAGATGAATTACTGCAAAATGTGTCAGTTAC